GGTGTTGCTCCTCTGAGTGTCCTTGATGCTAACTGGTGGTAGTGCTGCCGCCGGCGCCATGTGTCTATCAGAATTGCTCCGTATATTGTAGCTGTCACTGCCCGATGGAGGCTGCGTCTTGCTACTCAATCCCCCAAAAGCCTGAACCTCTTAACTTAACCCCAAACCCTAAGCTCCTAGACCTTAAAGCCTCTTAACCCCAACTTGGATCGGAAGCCAGTCCAGATCTCCGCACAGTTAACCCATATTTCGTGGTCGCTTTGTTTTTTCTCTCTGGCGCTCCCAGTAGGGAATGGGGGAATGAGTTACGGGAATTACAAGAAGGAACTTTACGAGGGCTTCTGGGGGTTTAAGGTTTTGAGTGTAGGGGTTTAGGGCTTATTGTTCACCGCTTAGGGTTGAGGGTCTTTTGTTGAGTTCCCCCATGTCCTACTGGAGAACCAGGTCATCAGCGCATGCGGCACACACCAGCTCAACCTGTCTGTGTGTAATTTGGGAGATACATGTGCAGCCCAGGGCTGAGGGTTTAGAGTTTGAGGCTTAGGATTTAGGGTCTAGGGTTGCGGGTGTAAGGTATTTGTTCCCGGGTTAAGATTTAGGGACATACGGCTTCCTGTCACATTGGGAGCCTTCTTAGCTAGCCTTAGTTTACTTCACGTTTGGAGGAGTAACGTATCATCATCATGGACCCAAACCCTAAACTCCCTAAACTCTTATCTTTTTGTGCCGTAAAAACTCTCAAAGTTGAGGGCGCTGCATTGGCCTGACTGATTATCAAATCTGGTCAATAGGGTTCCTGGTTGAATTTGTACTAAGCTGTACTATCATCTGCCACAAAACCAGATTCTAGTTTGCTCTTACCGAAACCCTTTATCGAACCCACTTTAGAACCGTGCAAAAGAAATCCTAGATAGTAAGCTCAGAACCAGATTGTCATCGCGAGCACATGACGAACAGATTGTGCATTCCAGAGGCTGACAGTGCTTGGATAGTTGTAAACTCTAAACCGTACTCCGCAAAGCCTGAGCTCTGAATTTTGAACGCTTAAGCCTCATACCCTAAAACCGCGACTCTAAGCCCTAGATTGCTCCTGAAACCCGATTCCTATTCCTCGACTTAGCACATAGGCCGGTGAGGGGCAGGGTTCAAGCATCGAGGTTTTTGCGATTTGAAGATTGGGCTCGGTTTGGTTGCAGAGGCATACGGTAGAGGAGTTAGATTTTGGGATGCGGAATGTACTGCCCTCTGTCCTCCAGTCCTCCACGATCTGCATAAGCCATATCTTGCGAGCAGGATTTCGTTTCACAAAATTTAAGCTTTTGCTGGTTGAGATTGTTGGACCTTGCTGTTGCAGCATGCAAGTCGCAAGTAGTTGTAACTCTGAGTGCACGAGAAGCTCGGAGAATCAGAGGATCGATCTGGATCTGGCACAGGCCTGATGCAGGATTTAGGTTGCAGGATTGATGGCATCAGGTTCCCAGAAGTCCCCGCCCCTACAACACATCTCGGTTGTTGGGCTACAAAAACGGCGATTGGCTGATATTAGCAAGAGCATACCGATAGAAGCCCGCAACATTCATCAAACATTGAGCCCTCAATCTGGATCTCGAACTCTCCCGTAGGTTTGTTCTGCATTCTGCATTCTGACACACCTAATGGCAGTGTCGCGGTGGTGTCAGCACCTTTCATCCTCGCACCTACAACTTCTTGAGTTCAGGATTTTCATTTGGGGTATCGCCCTGGAAACCGTAAACCTCAGGCTAAGCCCCACACTGGCATGCTAAGCTTGAAAGCCTACCGAGTCTTCGTGTGAAGGGTCGGCACTTTGGTCGTCCTGCAGGGCTACGGGTTTGGCGGATAGTCCCCGTATAATTTTACACTTCTTCTAGAATATGCCCAAACCGCATATCAAACAAGGCCCCCATCTGTGGACAGATGGCCTGCATCCAATCGACGCACACTCTGCACCTGTGAGCTACAAAAGCTGCAGAACTGCCATGCGGATTGCACCCAGACCTTTCTCAAGGGTTTAATGATAAGGCTTAGGGGACGAGTTTTCGAAGGACGGCCATAATGGGGGCTACGTCAGGTGTCGAAGCGTAGCAGTAGCAAAGATACCAGCAGTGCTGAGAATTGGAAGGAGGCCCTGATCAACCCAGGGGGTTGCAAAATGCTCTGAACGAAGCAGTTTAAGGTTCACGGTTTAGGATTTAGGGGAAGGGCCCCTTCATGCCCTAACATATTTAAAAGACTGTTTTCTGCATGGCCGGGGCCATTATATAGCTCGGGGTTGCAGGAGGTCTCAACACTGAAGGCTGGGATCGTCCTTGTCGGCAGTAGACCTCTCAACTTTCCAGCGCTCTTACAAAAAGAACGTGATTCATGATTTATGCGAATTGGTAGGGGTCAATATATTAAATTATCATCGAAGCTCGTATTCGATTTGTTTAATACATACATACATACATACATACATACATACATACATACATACATACATACATACATACATACACATATATAGATGTATCTATATGTGTATAATAGATTATCATCGAAGCTCGTGTTCGATTTGTCTACTACATATATACATATATATATATATACACACATTTATCTGTATGTGTATTGATACTTGTTTTTAGTTAATTCTATGTATATATATATATATATATATATGTACATTTATTTTGTATTCAGATATACTTTGCGGCAATAACATATGACATAATCTGAGAACAAACGAAGATGTATTTCACTTATCGACTAAACGGCTTTAGTTTGACGAACAATAAGGTTGTATAGTTCTAATACAGTAATTCACAGTGAAAAGTTTATAAATATGTGGTGTGGTGTTGGTTTTCCCGCCCTTCCGCCCATGGTTATGGTCTCTTATACCCACGCATATTGATTCTGCCTGTCTCTGCCTGGCCTGTGGGTGGTGGGTTTTGGGTGCTATGGTATATTGTGGTGGTATGTTGTGGGCTTCAATTTTGGTATTTAATTCTCTGAGCAACAATAGTATGTGGCAGTTGCAAGACTTGGAACCCCAATATGCACTAACACGAGAAAAGGACCCCAAAAGAGTCCCTAGACTAGAAATCACGTCTTGAATCACTTTAACCAACAGTCTTGGCATCGTTGCAATCGCTACCAGTACGAGTATCGAGGCAGATTCGACATTGGAGCCCTTTGCATTGTTGCATCATGTCAGTCGGTCCCTCGCACATCAAGGGAGGTTAGTGGTTAAGCTTCTCAGGTCCTGTTTTGTTCATCGAAAGTTACCTTTTTGGGTGGCTCCTTACTACAAATTGTAGGAATATATCCTACAAGCTTGTTCCAACTGTTGAGGGTTCTTGTGTTAATGGTTTAACCTAGGTTTAGAGTCACTGTATATACCTGGAAGCGTTCTCCTGCGTAATCCTCAACCCTACCTGGGAGCCGGAGGCACCGAACTGGGCCTTTCGGATTTTCCTGCTCATCCTTTTCAAATGTTCAAGGCAGTGGAGTGCAGCGGCATGAACTGCCGAATCTTCAAAACGTGCTGTGCATTAGCGTCTTGGAAACCGTTTCCCTAAGGGTCCATGCGCCCATGTAGCATTATAGTTAATACTTTGGTTTAGACTACTAAGATATTCACTACACTCTAGGGCAAGAGTATATGCTATAAACCCTAAACCCTAAACCGGTATATGGCTCCACACGGCTACATGGAGCTCCAGATTTGGCTCCGGGTGCCTCGGCCCTAAACTTTCCAGGGCGTTGAAGCCCCGGAAATCAGGTTGTTTCCCATGCATGATGGGCCGGCAGCTTCAGCAGGCTCCATGTGTAGGATACTTTCCATAGAGCCCTTATAGGTAGTTCTCTAAATTAGGGCCCCTGTTGGGTCCCATCATCGTACTGCACCCCTATTATAGAAAAGGACCCTGAAAGGGAGCTTATCTAAGAGAACTACTCTTATAGCAGACCTTAACAAACCCTTAAAGTACCCCGGAGGGATCCTCTGAGTAGCATATGCATGATATATAACATACAAGGTACAGTATCGAATACATACGGTATAATATATCATGGCAGCATGTGCAGAAGATGGCATCCGCGACGCTGTGACCGTCACAGAAGCCTTGGACGCTTTGGTCGTTGGATCTTTTCATGCCGGCCATTTGCTGCGGATGATGCTGTTCTGGGCGGTCCTGGCCATGACTCAGGAATGCACTCCATACCTGTTCCCTGGGTTGCGGAAGGGCTTTGATGCAGATGATGAGAGCATCGCTAGCTTCGCGGCTGCTTTTCCCCTGGGTTGTGTTGGGGTCCGTGTCGGCCACCTTCCTATTGGATCGACTCGGCCGCCGGGGCTTTGTGGTATTCGCGAGCCCAATGGCTGTGGCCGTAAGCCTGGCAAGCATAGTCGCTCCTTCCTTCCGGATTTTGCTTGGGCTAAGGATATTGCAGTTCGTTGTGATAGCAATTTCAAGAGCTGCGCTCAGCACTTGATACATCGAGTTCCTGCCCACGAACTACCGTGGCACCCTTATGGCCGTGTAAAGCCTTGGCTGGCCTCTTGGAAGGGCTGCCGTGATCCTCACGGCTTTCATGGCAAAGGAAGACTGGAGCTTATTCATGGCCTTGAATGCTCTCGGGTTTTCGGCGCTCTTCATAGTCATGCACTTGTCCGAGGAGTCTCCGCGTTTCTTGGTGGCCTCGGGCAGGTTGAGTGAGGCCAACGACGTACTGACCAGGCTGTATGCCAGCAACCGGCAGGGGCCATGGAAACCGTGCTCCCAACTGTGCCTCGACAAAGCCAGTGCCAATGATGGGCCACCGGATGAGCGTAGGACATGGTCGAGGCTGTTTTTTTGGCAGAGGCAGCCGTCACTTGCTGCTCTTTGCTTGCCTGCTTTTCGCGGTCTTGTCGTCTACAACCGTTTTGCTCGACACCTGGGGCCCCGGGCTGTACCATACCCTCCTAGCACCAGAATCCCCTGAGCTGCCTAATCCTTATGCTTTTCAATGTGGGAGACCTCTGCGGCGTCGCCATCTCCATCGTGATTGTGGACCGCATCGGAAGGGGTGGTAGCTTTGTCATAGGCTTCTTCCTCCAGGGCATGCTGCTTGCGATCGTCGGAATCTTGGATGCTCGTGAACCGCATCAGTACTATTTTGCAGCGCTCTGTGGCATGTTGGCTTCATGTCGGTGCTTTGCGTGGGAGTCAGCGCAGATGTGGACACTTGAGGCCTTCCCGACAGATCTGAGAGCTAAGGCCTTTAGCACTGCTGCGGCCGTTATGCATTCGATGTCGGCATTATCATTCAAAGTATCTGGGCATCAAGTACATCGCCTCACAGCTGCAAGCTGCCTGCTCTCCTTGGCTGCAATGAAGATCGCGGGCGGCTTCCTGAGCACGGGGTTGATGCCCAAAGAGACAGCAAGGGAGCCGATGACCGAGCGGCTGGCTAGTGGCGCAAGAGTCGTCAAACGTTCCTGATGAAAGTCTTGCGGGGAGCAGGGGAAGCAGGGGACACGGGGCAGGGGGCAGGGGGCAGAGAAATCTTCCGGTAGCTTCGGCAGGACCTGCCGCCATACAGCTAAATGGCCTGGTGGGCTCAAGTGCTGTAAACGGATCATGGGACTTAGCAAGTACTTGTAATGTTGTAACTGCAACAGCACTTACCTGTAATCTGAGAAGCTATGTTCCATGATCGATTCAGCATCCCAGAGAGTCTCAGGGCCAGTAACTTATCGGCTTGTTCGCGTCCTCCGACTTGGCTCGCAGCTGGGCCATCGACCGCCCCAAACCCGACTACACCGCATCCTAAGCCAGTGGGGCACTGCCTCGGTAGTCGCTGAGGCTTGCGTTATACCCTGAAGCCTGAAACCTAAACCTAGCAACCCAAAACCCCAAAAGAACTTACTCTGTACTCGTAGGCATGTTGCAGTGAGCCCCAGAGGAGTTGAAGTTGACAGTACTGTTTACTGAACTCCTAAGGGATTGTGTTGCTTTCAGGTTTGGGGTAAGGGTCAGGGTCCCGAGTAGAGCTTTAGTCACCATGTATTGTCAGCCGACCGCAATGTCGACGGCGCAGCTTGGATGCACGGAGGGTCATGGCGGGGGCAGCCTGCAGGAAATTGAAACCTCTAAACCCTGAAACCTAAACCCTTAAACCCTAAACCCTAAACCCTTATACCTAAACCCTAAACCCTAGGGTCCTTGAGTTTCTGGTCTTTGGGGAATAGACTGCAGGGTAGCAATTCCTTGGGGTTTCGGGCTCGGGGTTCCGCAGCCCTGTCAGTATGGCCTTTGGGGCCAAGGCCTCCTTAGATAGTGAACGGGGGAACTTTATAAATTTTTGGCCTTACATGTTTGCTCAATGACCGAAAGTTTGAAGTTTTTGGGGCCCGGTTCTTGAAGAAGAGAGCCTCAACATAGAAGTCCGGAGAGCTTCAGCTTCAGAGTTCGAGATGTTTCCAAGAGACGTCGGTTTGACAAAAATGATCTTCGAACGAAGCCTCAGGAAGCCAAGGAAGTCCTAGAACCCTTTTTCCGGTTGAATGTTTCGGCTTTAGCTTAGGAGTTGCAGTGGTTATAGGGCTGAAGGGTTTAGGGTTCAGAGCTTGGGCTCTAGTTGAATTTTCAGGTTTGGGCTCTAGGGTCCGGCCGCAATGTCGCCGGCGCAGCATCGAGTGCACCGTTTCGGCAGGAAGCTTGTGAAGGGGCTGTGGAAGCCGAACTCCAAGTGCAAAGTAGATGCCTGCATACCTTCAGCAGCCAATAATTCCAACCTTTGGAAGTTCGGGTTTCAGGCTTCGGGGCTGTAAGGCTGTACATATGGGGTTTACGGTTCGAGGGATTTTAAGGTTTCGGATTTCATGTTCTTGGGCGCTCCTAATGTAGTCAACTGCCCACATAGTTGAAGGGCTTCGTGCTTCAAGGGTTTGCGAGGGCTTCGGCTCTCAAGTAGCGGCATGAGGATTGCAAGGCGCCGGGTTGGGTGTTGATTGCTTTCTGGTTTGAGGTCTCCGGGTGTAGTCGTGATTTCGACAGCTCATAAATTTGCCGACCGACGATCCCTAAACCTTCAAACCCTGAACCTTAAGCTCACCTTCCCTATAATCCTCAAAGTTTCCTAAGCCGGCAAAGTTTACAGCATCGGCTTTCATGAAGGGCTGAGGTTTGAGGGTTTAAGACCTGAGATGAGTGTATTTATAGTTGTTCAAAACCTGCCTCTCAAGCCTAAACTATAAACCCTAAACCCCTGGAGTCCAATAGCCCCTAATCCCTTATAAACCCTGAATAAACCCTAAGCAAAGCCTAAACCTTCTAAACCGACCACCTCGAATTAAGATTGGGAAACAGAAACAGATGTGGAGTTTCCGAAAAGTAGGGCACCCTCTTTTGGGAGCCTTATAATCTGGATCCTCCTATTGAGGATTCTTTTTTTGGGGAACCCCTCTTTTCGGAAACTCCCATGTTCCGGCCACAGATCCAGGACCACTCCGCTGCCGTATTCGCAGCCCGTGACGTACATGCAGCCGTCGGATGCTCAACTCATAGCTCCGGTCAAGGGACTTCTGATGATACTAATACTAACAGATGTGTGTATACTTACTACTATGCATCTTACGTATACTGGTAGTTACAATCATAGTACTTGAACATACAACAACAATGATCATACGCATAAGTTACACAATACTACCAACAGAATGCTATTTTGATTCTGAAGATCTTGCTGCCTCGAATCTTGCACCTCAAGCTCTTGAGCTGTGAGGTTGGAGGGTTTGAGGGTTTTGAGCGACATGTACCCGAAGCTTTGCGGTTTAGGTTTAGGATGAAGTGAGTTTTAGGGCCTCTTTGCGGTGGGAGCCTTTGAAAGCAAGCTGATCCCATGAGGGCAACAGGGACAATCGTAGGTCAGAGTAGCAGGAAGCCGACGATTCCAAAAGTACCGTACTGGATATAGTGTTTAGTGAGGTTTGTGGTTTAGACTTTGAGTTTAAAGCTATGCATTTCAGGTTTTGCGGTTGTGATAGTGTCATTCGCAATGAACCTTTCTCGGAGTGGAGCAGTCAGGGTTCAGGGTCTTACATATGTTGTTTATGCAGATGCATATTGCACCCGTGCAGGGTAGTCCAATGGTCAAAGTGCCCAGCCAAGTTAACTACGACCATCTACGACCATTATGTTTCAACGCAGCTCCAAAATTGTTAGAGATCGAGCATTGTTGAATGGAGTCCTCTCGTCGCACTTTGGGACAGTCCCCCTGACCAAGTAGCTGGTTTCACCCGATGGGGTCATTTCACGGCCCAGCTGCATGTCAACATGCACACTCGGACCCCTAAGTCATAAAAATGCTGAAGGCCCGAACCCTAAACTCCGACATCCTGGGGCCTCAAGTGAAGCCTTAACATGCACGTCAATGTGTACCCTACCTTAGAGTTGAGGACTGCCACTCTGCCAGCGGTGCAGAATCCATATGTGCAGCCATGGATGCCTCAAGGGTCCCTGGTTTGTTTGGGACGTTTTGGTGCCTCGGGTCAAGGGTTAGAGTTTGTGCTGCGTGGACGGTTTAGCACCCGATGTAGAAAAGGCTGTAACTCAGCAAATTGCAAAGACCCCAAGCCACTTCGTGTTTCACCGTGGCTCCAGCTCATGTTAAACCCGGACACATGCGGGAGTTTCCGAAAACAGGGGCACCTTGTTTTGGGGTCCTTACAATAAGGATCCTGCTATTGAGCGTACTATATAAGGGTCCCCCATTTTCGGAAATTCCCATGTCCTGTGTCATTTTCCAAACCGTCAACCTGTGGCATTCTTCTCCAAGTTTATTCGGGATGCAGGACTTTTTCCCACAAGTGCTTTTTTCCTGTATCTGTGCTGCATACTTTAATCAACTCGCTTGTGTTGCCCATCCTCACTTCGGTAGCGGCACTTCAGAAGAGTAATTGCGCAAGAAGAGTACCTCTACTTTCGAGATGTCTGAGCACCCCCCACCAGCCCAGAAGCCGAAAACTTAGAGCTATTTCTCTCCTTCCTTGAATGTTGATGGGTAGTTTAGTGGGGTTTACGGGTTTATATGGTTTGGGCTTGTAGGGTTCAGGGTGTCGGTTTAGGATCCAGGGGTTTAGAGTTTTAAGGATTCTTCGCTTGTTTACGGTTTATGCTGCTACAAGCACGTCAACCACTGTCGCAGGTACTTTGGACTAGAGTTGTTTCGCCTACAACTTTGAAGTGCAAGTACGACTGTCACGTACTATAGGATCCAAAATAGTTAGCAAATGCCATTTTGGGGCTTCCTAATTGGTATCATGGTATAGTGGACCCCAAAACCCTGTTCCAATTATTAAGGCTAAGGTCCGGTGTAGTGCGAGCTTTCAGCAGAGGCTTGGGACCGGGACGTTCAGCCCCTCCTACGGGTGCGGCTCCCAGAGGTACGGAGGGACTCGAAGCTGGTGTGTGAAGGAGATCAACCGTTTCTTGTTAGGGCATCTATTCCAGGCAATGGATAGCGGGCTTATGTATATTATATATAGAAGCATAATGCATGCATACACTTATGTATGTATACGGTTATATAAGTAAGTAAGTCTGCCGCCTGTCTGTCTGTCTATCTCTCTGTCTGTCTCTCTGTGTCTTTGTCTGTCTGTCTCTCTCTCTGTGTCTTTGTCTGTTTGTCTGTCTTTACGTATGTCTGTCTATATGCCTGTATGTCTGCATGATTCTGCATGTCTGTATGTCTGTCTGTATGAATGCATGCATGATTTATGTAAGTGTGCATGTGTATATACAGCTCCTGAGCATGATCTCAGATTTCCGCTATTTGCTCGTGTTTTGTTCTCGAACCTTCAGGTTCAGGAGTCATGGGGGATGGAATAAAATGAAGGATAAATCCAAGTCTCCTTGCTAATGGTCTTGTTGCAAGTCTCTTCAGGGTGCAGCGCAGGCTTGAGGTTTGGTCCTTGTAGTACTGCTACTGTGCAGCCGCGGCAATGCTTAAGTCTCAAAGCTTACGCCCCCCTAGGCTTGAAACCGTTAGACCCTTTCAGCCCACTTGTTTAACCCCAAACAGCCCGCTCACCCGATTAACGCGGTAATCCCGTAACCCTAACCTTGTATACGATAAACGCTTAACATTTCAATGGACCTTTGCCGAACCGAGATATGGCGCCGTTCCTGTGCCGATCCTGCCGCAGCCAGCTGGGTATATGCCTTGCTCCCGGACGCCTGATCTGTCAGGGTTATGATTCTCTCCCAAACCTTGCTATGTCGACCCCTAAATAAGAAGTCGTGTATGTGCGCATGGGTGGGTGCGTGTTTTCTCTTACTGCGTTTATCGACGATGCTTTTCTTCGGAAGCTTATCAGATTTGTTCGCCCTTCTTCGGATGTTCAGGGAACACAATAATGTCGTTTCCCGATTAAGATACCCCCCCAGATTAGACGGGGCGGTCCCGGGCATGTCATGGGCTTAATGAAGAAGTTAGACCC